ACCAAAAACAAACGGCTTCGCAACAGGATTTGTCAAAACAAGTTGAGGTCGTGCTCTTGCGAATGCTAAACACAACGATCGATTGTTCAACAAATTCATCAAATGCACCCAGACGAGCCCCTCGCGCGCGCATGCCAAAATCAGTCGACCGCCCTTGCGCGCGTGCCGGGGAGGGGGGCACGATCCCTGTCACATAAAACCGTGCGAACCACGTGCGAGCGTCGACCGCGCGAATGTGTCGAATCTTTCAAAACCTTCATCACCAACGCGGGGAAAGTATCATCATCGGCGTGATCAGCATCGGCGCCGTCATTGCCCATGCGGTCGTCACTGTCATCATCATCACCAGAATCGCGACTACTATCATCATCGTGTCTGCCATTGTCGACGTCGCCATGATACCACGCCCGCCTGAATGTGCCCGCGCGTCAGCACGGCCTGCGAAACGCGCCTGGAGGCTCCCAGCGGTCAGCGCCACCGCGGCCGAGTCGGTCGCGCCAGACTAGCTGGCCGCTCTGAGCGAGAGCCTTCGCTCCAAGTTGCGGGCGGGTGGTTGGGATAATTGCGCGATCATGAGAGGTGGTAACACACGAGGAAGTCAAAGTCAACTCTCCTTTCTGAACAGGAAATAGGTTCGATCACCCTCCCCCCCACGGGGTTAAAGACCGCCCTGGAAACCGATGCAGAGCACATAGGAACCTGACCCAATGTCCAACCGACCTGTGAATTCATACTACCCCAGCCAAACCCGTATCGCCCCCCCCCGCCATCCTCTGGAGAAAACTGTGCGCGCACACTCGTATGTCAAAAACCATAAGTGTTCAACAACCCCTTGCAACAGATGGGACGAAAGGCACACGCGCGCGTCGTCACGCGCGCATGCCGATATCCGTCAAAAACCGTCGGTTTCGGAAGGGTTTCAAAATCGAGCTTCCAAAAAAACATGCAAAAACACATGGTTTCGCAACACTGGTTTTCTAACTTTTAAGGAAAACATGGGTTTGTCAAGAATGTCCCATCGAAGGAAAAAACAAAAGGGCTTCGCACGCGCGCGCATGTCGAAATCGTTCGAACGCCCTTGCACGCGCGCCGTCGCGAGAACCCTCTGCAAAAATCTGGACGAACTGCACGCGCGCGCGTCGTCGCGCGCGCATGCCGAAAATCTTCAAAAAGTTGCAGTGTCGGAAGGAGTTCAAAATGGAGCGCCGAACAACATACCAAAACATATGGTTTCGCAACACGGAATTTCCACAAAAGCGTGCGCGCGCGCTCTTGCGTCGTCGTCGTCGACGTCCTCCCTCCTCCCTCGTCGTCGTCGTCGCCGTCGTCGTCCTCTGTCTTTCCTCGTCGTCGTCGTCCTCTTTGGCGTCGTCGTCGTTTCAGTCGTCGCTGTCGCCGTGATCGTCCTTCCTCCTCCCTCGTCGTCGTCGTCGTCCGTCGTCGGCGTCTCGTCGTCGTCGATCATATGTCGTCGCCATCGTCGTCGCCGTCGTCGTTTCCCTTCCTCCTTCGTCGTTGTCGTCGTCGGCGTCGTTGTCCTCCCTCCTTCTTCGCCGTTCACGTCGTCGCCGTCCGCCCTCCTCCCTCGTCGTTGTCGTCGTTGTCGCCGTCGTCGTCCTCCCTCCTCCCTCGTCGTCGTCGTCTTCGTTGGCGACATCGTCGTCGTCTTCGTCGTTGTCGTCGTCGTCGTCGTCGTCGGTGTCGTCGTCGTCGTCGACGTCGTCGGCGTCGTCGCCGTCGGCGTTATCATCGTCGTCGTCGTCGTCGTCGGCGTCGGCGTCGTCGTCGACATCGTCGGTGTCGTCGTCGTCGTCTTCGTCGGAGTCGTTGGAGACGCCGCCGGTGTCGTCGTAGTCGTTGTTGGCTGGCGGCGTCGTCGTCGCGGTTGTCGCTGCCGTCGTCGGCGTCGGTGTCGTTGCCAAGTGCCATTTGGTACCTACCGTCACGGTCTTAAGAAGTCGTGCGACCAAGTTGCGGGTGGGAGTGTGGGAGGTTTGCACGAGCAGTGGAGAGGACAGCTACAAGTTGAGCAAGTGATTGATTGCACCCATATACTGCACCACAGGGATTGCACCACGCAGATTGCACAACATAGGTTGCACTATATACATTGCACCACATAGCTTGCACACCACAGATCGCGCCACACAGATCGCACCTCATAGCTTGCACTACATAGATTGCACCACTTAGATACCTTTCTTCTGAACAACAATAAAAAAATAAAAAGGTTCTGCCACCCTCCCCCCCCCCCCCCGGGTTAAAGATTCCTTTTTTCGTGCTGCTACATCGTCCATCCAAACTGCGTATTCCTACTATCCGAGCTTCACGGGCATCGCCCCCCCCCCATCCCCTGCAAAAAACTATGCGCGCACACTCGCTTATCAAAAACCATCAGTTTGCATTAATCCCTTGCAAAAGATCTGACAAAGCGCACACGCGCGCGTCATCGCGGGCGCATGCCGGAATCTTCCCAACACCGTCAGTTTCGCAAGGATGTCAAAATCGACGCTCAAAAAACATACAAAAACATAGGGTGTCGCAGCACGGGCTTCCTGAAAAAACCCTTACGCGCGCGCTCGTGCGAAATCTTAGAGAAAACACCAGTTTCTCTAACATTTCATAAAATACTACCAAACGGGCTTCGCGCGCGCGCATGTCGAAATCGGCCGAACGCCCTCGCGCGCGTGCCGTCGCGAGAATCCTTTGCAAAAGAACAATGCGAAGTGCACGCGCGCGCGCGTCGTCGCGCGCGCATGCCGAAATCCTTCAAAAACCCTAGGTTTCGGAAGGATTTCAGAATGGAGCGCCAAAAAACAAACAAAACCACAAGGTTTCGCAACACTGAGTTTTAACGAAAGCGTGCGCGCGCGCTCTTGCGTCGTCGTCGTCGTCGTCCTCCTCCTCCTTTCTCCCTCGTCGTCGTCGTCGTCGCCGTCGTCGCCGTCGTCGTCCTCTGCCTTCCCTCGTCGTCGTCGTCGTCCTCTTTGGCGTCGCCGTGGTTTCAGAAGTCGGTGTCGCCGTGGTCGTGCTTCCTCCTCCCTCGTCGTTGTCGTCCGTCGTCGGCATCTCGTCGTCGTCGATCATATGTCGTCGCCGTCGTCGTCGTCGTCGTCATCTTCCCTCCTCCCTCGTCGTTGTCTTCGTCGGCGTCGCCGTCCTCCCTCCTTCTTCGTCGTTCGCGTCGTCGCCGTCCGCCCTCCTCCCTCGTCGTTGTCGCCGTTGTCGCCGTCGTCGTCCTCCCTCCTCCCTCGCCGTCGTCGTCGTCGTTAGCGACGTCTTCGTCGTCGTCGTCGTCGACGTCGACGTCGTCGTCGGCGTCGTCGTCGTCGGCGTCGTCGTCGTCGGCGTCGTCGTCGGCGTCGTCATCTTCGGCGTCGTCGTCGACGTCGGCGTCGTCATCATCGGTGTCGTCGTCGTCGTTGTCGTCGTCGTCGAAGTCGTCGGAGTCGTCGTCGGTGTCGTCGTACTCGTCGTCGGCGTCGTCGTCGTCGTCGTCGTCGCTGTCGTCGTCGGCGTCGGTGTCGTTGCCAAGTGCCATTTGGTACCTACCGTCATGGTCTTAAGAGGTCTTGCGACCAAGTTGCGGGTGGGAGTGTGGGAGGTTTGCACGAGCAGTGGAGAGGACAGCTTCAAGACAATCAAAGTGAATTGCACCACGTAGATTGCACCAGATAGCTTTCTCCACATTGATTGCCCAACATGTGTTGCACCACATGGATTGCACCACATAGGTTGCACAGCGTGGACTGCACCACATGGATTGCACCACAAAGCGTGCAGGCCATATATCGCACCACACATATTGCACCACATAGCTTGCACCACATTGGTTGCACCACACATATTGCACCACATAACTTGCCCGTCCTTGATTGCCCGGAATGTATGGCATCATGTAGATTGCACCGCATAGATGATACGAGAGATACGGCGCAACAGAGATTGCACAGCATAATTCGCACCACGGAGGTTGTACCTTCTGCACCGCAGATAGTGCACCAAATCTGTTGCTTCACATAGGCTGTGCAAGATATATTGCTAGAAACACACTGTTTGGGGTCAACGCTGGCGAACATGTTGTTGTAATGTTCGTTTCCTGAGAGTCAGCATATCACCAGAAGATCGAATCGAATCAGGTGTATCGGATCAGGCCGCATCGGCACAGTCGGAAACAAATCAGTTCGGCAGCGCCAGGATGCACAATTGCGCCATGCAAGCAACTGGCCGCATCGGATCGTCGGAATGAACAAAATCGAATCGGATCGAGCGGGTCAGAGTCGATATCGAATCGGATCGACCAGGTCGAGAAGAACCATGATTTGTGGGAGGACGTCGTAAGAACAAGCACGTTGATCTGCTTCGTCACAGGCGCACTCAGCCAACGAACGTTGGCACCCAAGAGATGCACCAGGCAAACCCAGAGCCGCGAAAAAGCGATACTGAGAGATGTTGAAGCCCGACTTGGGGGGGCGTTGAGCTGGAGTAGCCCGGAGAAGCCGGGGGGACTCGACTGGGTCAGGCAGGATCGAGCGGGATTACCAGCGGGGCTGTGCCGGATCAGGCCAGCCTTCGCCCTCGGATACACATACGCCGATGCCGAATCTGACCTGGGGAAGCCAGAAGGTACCGAGACCGCTACGGCAGGTTCGTGTCGTGTCGACCCCGGCGCTGGTTTCTGACACAGCGGGGATCGTTCAATCTTGAACGATCGGGCGTTTCCGAAATATCAGCTCGGTCAACCTCGACCGTTTCTGGGTGCAGGCGGCGTTCAAAGTTGAACGCCGGCGGCGGGGTCGCCGCCAGTCGACACGACGCGAACCTACCGTACTCCCCTGACCTCTGCCAGGGTGCGTTCTGACCAGAAGTTCGAGGCGGCTCCCGCGGCGGCGACGGGAGCCTCCCGGAAGGGCCCCGAACGGGTAAAACGAGGGCAGGGTGGCAGTATGTGTACCGCTTCGTTCCTCTGGCAACATCCCAGGAGATGCACCCTGACCAGCCTGCGGGTCCAGAAGGGGCCGTCGTTAGAGAGGAGCACGGAGTTCGAGAAGCGGATGCTGTCCGCGTCGCCAGAAATGGCCTTCCCGAGCGCGCGGTTCAGCGCCTCCTCCAGGCCGCGTCCAGACGACCCGCCCGCTGCCTCGGAGATGACAAAGAGGTATTCTGGATGGGGCGCTCATCTCAAGGGTGCGTTCTGAACAGAACTTCACGGCGGATCCAGCCTGTTGTAGCAATTCACGGGAGCCTCCCATGTCATCTTGCTGGCTCTTGCAAACCGGCGCGGTTCGACGCTGATTGACGCAAAGTACGATCGACGCTTCACCAATGCTCTAATCGATAGTGATTATGCGCTTTCTGATCGATTACCAGACGCTAGCGCACCCACGTTGACACAAAGAATCCGAATACATACAAGGCTCCGATGGGTTACCAGCAGCGGCGACGGGAGATCCCCAGGCGGCCCGAGAAAGGACGAGAACGAGGCAGACAGAGTGGCCTCCTGGCATGAAGGGCAGAGTCCTGCCTGAACCCTGGCCCTGGACCCCGTGGCCTGCCCCCGACCAGCTTGTCCTCGCGAGCCGTTGCCTGGCACTGCCTGGGCCCATGGCAGGCCCCTCGAAGCCCAAGAACGGCAGAGAAACGTCGAGCCCATGCTCTGCAGGACCCGCTCGGCTCCACCGTGACCCGTTCCATCCGCGGCCCAGAGAGTTGCTCGACCCTTTTCTGCGGTGGGACTTTGGCGCCCCAGATTGGGCGTAGCTTGAGGGCGGCAAACGGGGGGCGCGAACAACGTGCACCTCTGCGCACACACACACACACACCACTTATCGCCACCCCCCGTCACGCAGCACCCGACCGAGTCCGTGTCCGATCGCCCCGGGCCCGGAAGCAGCCCCCGGAGGCCGAAGTGAAAGAACAACGCCGCGATTGAAGAGTCATTGATGCGGAAGTCTGGGCCTGTTCCCCCGAAGCATCCCAAATGGAGTCCGAGTAGACGGGATCGGAAGATCGCGCCACGTGGCCGATGAATCGCCGATGCATCGCCGATGCACTGGCGAGATCGGCGACGCATCGGCACCGTCAGCGGGGGGGAGAAACAAGGTTCCATCGAGCGGCATCGCCGGTGCATCGGCGATGCGACGCGAAACTCCCACCCCGTTTACTCCGACCCCATCCGTGGAGTGCAGACCCCAGACCCCCGACGCCCCGATGTTTTTCGATGACGTGGAGGTATCAACCCATTCCCTGGGGACACCTCTTCAGCAGGAATCTACATGTGTCGCTGCCGGGGCCGAGCGAAGACCCCACAGGGCCGATCACGGCGAAACATAGATCGCAGATATGCTCTACGGCGCGAGCACGTCTGAGGAATTGCGCTCGCCGCATCGACTCGGACCGCTTTTATTGTGAGGCCTGGATTCCTTCAGGAGCCGCTGGCTCCCTGGCGGAGGAAGTGGAAGATGGGAGGGAGGGGACGAGGGGGGCGCGGGAAAAGGACGGGGAGGAGGAACTTGAATTGTGGGGATCGGGGGCAAAAAAATGACGGCAGCACGACTTGAGCGGGCCTTCTCTTTCCTCCTGTTTGAGTCGGGATTGCGCGGGCGATCGAACAGCTCTGGCATACTGTGCGAGCGCGGCCGCAAGAAACCTTCGCAAGAAACCCAACCCTGAAAACCCGCGCGCAAGGTGAAAACCTGAGCATCCCGAACGCAGCAGCTTCTTCAGCGGCAGCGGGAAGCCACCGCACGGCGCGCGGAGCGAAGAAACCCAGGGTACCCTAACGAAAAGCAGATGGCTTCTTGTTGCGCGTCCCCACTGCAGCAAAAGGAACGGAATAACAAACAAAAAAATCAGTTACTGCCCAACCCCCCAACCCATCTAGAATACCCGGCCGCCACCAGGGCGGCGCGCCGGGTCGGCGGCGTGCGCGCTCGCACCGCCTGTGCTCGGCGAGCACGCCCGTGCTCCTGTGTGGGAACGGCGCGGGGCCGCGCACCCGAGCAGGTGCAGAGGCAGCAGGTGCATGCGCCGCGGCGCTGTGCTCAGGCCCTGCGCCGCGGCCAGGGTGGCCGAGTGCTGGGCCTGGAGGCCAGGCTGGGCGAGGCGCGGCACAAGCCCCTCGGAGGCGAGGACGCGACAAAAATGCCTGGTTCCCTAGACAGGGAGAGGGGAAGAGGGAATCGCCTCGAGGGCGCGCGGGCGCAGATGCACCGCACGGCGCCTCACCGCTCAGTCCGTGGCCGTCGGACTCTGGTCGGCCCGACGCTCGGGCTCTTTTCCGGCCTCCGCGCCATCGGCCGCCGCAGGCCCCGCAGCGTCCGCGTCCGCTTTGGACGGCACCTGTTCCTCGCCTTGTCCTGGCCCTGGCCCCGCTTATGATTGCCCTTGGGACCTCTGCGATGGGTCCGTTTGGGGGCACTCGCGAGCCAAGCCGCGGGCGTCTCCGTCGCCTCGTCCTTGTCCATGCTGCCCTCGTCGGCCCTGCTGCCCTAGCTGCCCGTGCCGCTGCCCTTGCTGCAGCTTGGCCTGCCGGCACTGCGCCTGGCCGAGGCTGCCACTGTGCGCATGGCTCCCGGCGGCGCGCCCGAAGCTGGGGAGCGGTTCCATCTCGCGAGCGTCCGTGAAGCAGTCCCTGGGCCCCTGCGAGCGCACTGGGGTCCAGTCGCTGGTGCGGCGAACCCTGGTGGTGGATCAGGCGGCTGTGGCGGCTTGGTCCCCGTTGATGGGCCAGCTGGCTGTGACGTCCTGAGGGCCCGGGCGACCAAGAGCGCCGTTGGTGGCCCTGGGCCTGGACGTCCAAGGCCAGCAAGGGATGCTCGCCGCAGCCGGGCCATGAAGACCCGGCCACAAGCATCCAGCGCCTGCGGCATGCAAGCGGTACTCGCGGGTCAGCGAATGTCCCCAGTGCGCCGCCAAGCGCTGTGGGAAGGCCATGACTCATGACCTTCGGAGGAAAGGTTTCGCTTCCGACCGTGGGGCGCCTGGGTCGATCGTGCGTCCGCTCGCGACGCGCACCTCGCGGCAGAACGCCGCGCGCACCTGGAGGTCAATCCGCCCGACGCTGAAGAGGACTAAGCGCGTCATGGGTTCCAGCAGAGCCATGCTCGTGTGCCAGCGGCAGCGGATGTACTTGTCGACCTTGCCCGCGTCATACAGTCCGAAAGCGAGGGGGCGCGCGGCAACATGTTCTGCACGATGTTCCGTTGCCTTCCTGTCCTCCGCCGTGCAGGGATAGACCTCGTCGCCGCCGATCTCCGGGGGCGCCTCCCGCGGCGGCGGCGCCTGCGACTTGCCCGACGCCGCGAAACGCGGTGGCACTGGCCGAAGCGACGCCGTGGGCCGAGAGGCCGCGCTGCTGCTGCCACGCATGGCCGGGTTGCGGCTGCGCGGGCGCGAGCAGAACGGACGCGAAAGCACTTGGTCGCGCTCGCGGCTGCGGCGGCGCAGCACCACTGCCAATCCAGGGCCGAGCGACGGAGGTGGTAGCAGCGATGGCTCGCGGCGGGCACGCCTCTTGAGCTCCGCCGCTGGGGGCCTTGGCGGCTCTGTGGGCGGCGGCATCGTGGGCGACCTGCCAGGCGAACACACCGCCCGGAGAGCACAACCAGCTGGCGCTGCCATCGCTCCACTCCTGCGCCGCGGCGGCGGACTGGCGCTCTAAACCCCGATGAGGGGGAAGCCCGTCGCTCGGGCGCAGCGGGGGCCTCTTGGCAGACACAGTCGCGCGCGCAGCCCTCTCGGGCGCGCGCGCACGCCCGAGGGCCGACTGGCGCAGGCGCGCGCGCAGCGCGCGCAGAGGGAGGAGGAGGAGGAGGAGGAGGAGGAGAGGAGGAGGAGGAGGAGTGGAGGAGGAGGAGGAGGAGGAGGAGGATGGGATGGAGGAGGGGAGGAGGGAGGGAGGGAGGAGGGAGGGGAGGAGGAGGGAGGAGGAGGAGAGGAGGAGGAGGAGGAGGGAGGAGGAGGAGGGAGGAGGAGGAGGAGGGAGGAGGGACTGGGGGGGCCCCTGGCGCAGGCAAGCGCTCAGGCGACTGGCGGCCCGCGCGCGGCCCGCGCGCGGAAGAGGCAACGTGGCCGTGTGCACACGGGGTCGCCTGCGGTCGGTGGCGTTGGCATCGTCGCGCCCGTGGGTGAGGTGGGAGAATGTCCGTGGTGGTCGCAAAGCAACCGTAAGAACAGGCCGCTCAAGGTGACTACCTACCAGACCACCCCAACCCAACCCGAAGACCCGAATTTCGGGTTGGGGGGGGTACGGGTTCCATATGTGTTTTCTCGATGTTCCCCGACCCCCCCCAACTGGAAATGGAGGTCAAATGGAGGCCTTCGGGTTGGGTTGGGGTGGTTTGGTGAGTGGTGACGTCGCGCCTGTGGGTGAGGCGGGAGAATGTCCGTGGTGGTCGCAAAGCAACCGTAAGAACAGGCCGCTCAAAGACTGGAGGGCGGTACCAGTGCCGAAAGCGAGGGAAATGCGACCGTGCGTCGACGTCGCATTCCGCGCGTCTTGCGTGGATCGCGAGCTGGAAGGCTCTCAGCGCGGGGGAGAGAAAGAAACCATGGCGGCGGTACCATGCGAGCGGATAGCATCCCTTCTCTGTCAAAGATGTGTTCGCTCCAGCGCTGGAGCCCAGATAGCAGCGGGTCATCTGCAAGAGGTACCGACACTGCTACTCCTTCCAGGCAGACCTCTCCCGGGGTGCGTCCTGACCGGAATCTCGAGGCGAATCCAGCGGCGACGACGAGGGCCTCCCAGGAGGCCCGCAACAACAAGGGGAAAACGAGGTGGGCACCTTTCTAGAGGAAAAAGCTGCAAAAACATGAACTGTTGACGGTCCGCGCGGATTTCTTGGAACTGAGCTGGACCCCCCTCCCTGGCGCGCCGGAGGCGCCGCCAGGGGCGCCCCAGCGCAGATCAAATAAATCCGCGCGGAGCGCCGAAAGTTTATGTTCATGCCAGTTTCTCTTCTTCGACGTTCCCTCCTCTGAGCCTCGGCGACCTCGGGCAGCGGCGACCTTTGCGATGCATCGGCGTCGTCGGCGTGGAGAAGATCGGGCTCCATATGGCGCCGCATCGCCGATGCATCGGCCATGCGGCGCGATCCTCCGAACCCATCTACTCCGGCCCTATCTAGGAGGCCTACATATCCCTCCTTTGAGCAAGGACCAACCTTAGAACCCGAACATGTTCTAAGAACAGGAGCCATGTTCTTAGAACATTAACCCGACCTGCTAAATCAAAGCAGTCTCAGCCAGAACTGTTCGGAGAACGTGTCGTGCAGACCACACAAGGTTCTTAGAACATTCTTTGGTGGGCCTACAGGCGAGCCAGGACGCCTCGCCCCCGAGATCCGATGTCGTGATGATTTTTCCAATGCGCGGCCCCCGGAAATCTCGACCCACTCCCCAGGACCGGTTTCTCATCCTGAGCCGGTTCTTGACGGCCCCGGGGCCCGGCGAGGGCCCCTCGAGGCCGACACTGGTGCAAAACCTCCGTCCTGATTTTCTCAATGCGTTGGATCTCTTGGGCCACTGCTTGACTTACGCTGGGCATGTCCCCCTACAGGCGGACCCTGGACGAACAATCAATTAAAAATACACCAGAAATACTCAAAAATGATCCAGAAGACCAGGAAAATCGTTTCCAGACTATTTTTGGACCATCTTGGCATATTCGGGCATGGACAGACCTCCCTTTAGTAAAACGTGGTTTAGTGAAAACGACCTCGGGCCCAAACCTGGCGGGCGCAAGCCTGGAAAATAACGGCCACGGCACCCTCTCGAGAACCGAAAACGGACAATTCACCAATCGACGTGTCACTGTTGGGGGTTCTGTCCACCCACGACATATTCCTCCTTAGTGCTTGCCTCCGTCGGAGCCTTCCTCCTTAGTCCTTGCCTCCTGGACGAAAAAGTTAAAATACACCAGAAATGCTCAAAAATGATCCAGAAGACCAGAAAAATCGTCTCCTGACTATTTTTGGACCATCTTGGCATATTCGGGGATGGACAGACCTCCCTTTAGTAAAACGTGGTTTAGTGAAAACGACCTCGGGCCCAAACCTGGCGGGCGCCAGCCTGGAAAATGACGGCCACGGCGCCCTCTCGAGAACCGAAAACGGACAAGCCACTAATCGACGTGTCACTGCTCGGGGTTCTGTCCACCCCCGACAGATTCCTCCTTAGTGCTTGCCTCCGTCGGAGCCTTCCTCCTTAGTCCTTGCCTCCTGGACGAAAAAGTTAAAATACACCAGAAATGCTCAAAAATGATCCAGAAGACCAGAAAAATCGTCTCCTGACTATTTTTGGACCATCTTGGCATATTCGGGGATGGACAGACCTCCCTTTAGTAAAACGTGGTTTCGTGAAAACGACCTCGGGCCCAAACCTGGCGGGCGCAAGCCTGGAAAATAACGGCCACGGCGCCCTCTCGAGCACCGAAAACGGACAAGTCACCAATCGACGTGTCACTGCTCGGGGTTCTGTCCACCCCCGACAGATTCCTCCTTGACTACCTACCAGACCACCCCAACCCAACCCGAAGACCCGGATTTCGGGTTGGGGGGGGTATGGGTTCCATACGTGTTTTTTCGATGTTCCCCGACCCCCCCCAACTGGAAATGGATGGCAAATTGAAGCCTTCGGGTTGGGTTGGGGTGGTTTGGTGGGTGGTGACTCCTTGGTGCCTGCCTCCCTCCGCGCCTCGGCGATCTCGGGCAGCACGCCGGCGTGCACGAACAGCACGCTCCGCTGCAGCCCGCGCTCGGGGCCCACCAGCGCCACGGCGCGGCCCCGCTCGCGGAGGCGCGCGCCGACCCAGCCGGCGGGGCCGAAGGCCCGCGCCCGGTCGCCCGCGGGCACGCCGAGGGCAGAAGAGGGCACAGCTCGGGTCGGGCGAAAGGGGGGGATAGCAAAAGGGGGGTTTGAGAATCAGCTCACGTAGCTGATCTTCCCGGCGCCTCCCGGCGCCGGGAGCGGCCATGTATCGAGGAATGGGCCCCTCGGTGAGGCCGAAACCAGCTGCATGCAGCAAATTTCGTAACCCCCCCTTTCCCAATCCCCCCCTTTCGCCCGGCCCGAACAGCGGCGCAGGCACGCGGGGCGCGCCGCTGTACAGTCGGGGCGTTGACCTCAGGAACCCCAGATGAGGAACGAGGCGCCTCTTCTCCAGGAGTGCAACTGCGATGTCCCATCGAGGACCGAGGGAGTACCTGAGGCAAGATTTGGGGAACAATTCAGGAACACGGAGCCCCTCCCCAACGAGAAGGGTTCCTTCTTCAGCGCCCCGACTGTATTTTCGGCGATCATGGGCATTACAGGGGGGGGGGTCGGATATAACGCCTCCCCCCCGCCGCGCGCACGGCGGCCGTGCCCGGAGCGCACTGGGGAGGGGGAGGGGCGCCACGTTGTGGGGGGGGGGAGGGGGGGCCGGGGGCTACAATGCCCGTTGTGCCCCACGCAAGAAAGAAACACGCTCGTGAGGAGCCGAGCTCTATGCACCGACGCTGTTTCCTGCCCTGCCCGGCACCGTCATTCGCCCCAGGGAAGCGGAGCGGGCTGTCAGGCCCTGCAGTCAAGCCCGATCGGAGAGGGCACGCGAGAGGGCACGCAGCCCCGTCCGAGCGCCACGGTGTCACTGGTTCGGGAGACAGAGGACGCAAGGACACCCCTGATTTGCAAGGGCTGACCTACTGTTGGAGGCCTGGGAATGGGCACCAACACCAAGACAGGGGGTGCCTCCATACAGGGCAGTTTTTTTTAATACATAGGGCTTTTTTATATATATATATATATATATATATATATGTATGTATGTATGGATCATGGATGTTTAAACCATGATTAATGTATGATTAAATGTATGCATGAACTCATCGTTGCTTTTATACTAAATCCCTGCATATTTAATACATGATCCGCACGCGGAGCATGTGTGAAAAAAGGCACTGTAGGGGGAAGATGATCCTCGAGTTCGGTGTTGGTGGAAATAGTTCGGTCACCTTGGAAGCCAGAACATTGCCACCATCACCGAGCTCGGGATCTTCGTCCGCCGGTGGAGGCAAAACGCCGATATTGGTGTTGGTGTCAACCTCTAGGCCTGCGAAACTGCAGCCGCCATGAATGGGCGGGTTGGGGTCGATGCGTCCCCCCTGAGCCGCTCTGAGCCTACCTCCCCCTGAGGCTACCCTCTGTAGGGAGCCGAACTCTATTCAGGGGGACGTAAGACCTGGGTACAGGGGACTCGGAAATCCCCGACGAGGTCGTCAAAAAAATGACGAGGCCGAACCTGCATTTTGACGAGGCCTCCCGCTGCAGACATCCCACGAAACTCCTCCTCGTCAAAATCCGAGGCGCGGTCGTCAAAAAACGATGGCGAACCCGAGTCCTGGCAAACCCGGGTCTTACGCTCCCCCGATCTATACACCGACGCATTTTCCGGCCCCGCAGTGACACTTGCACAGGAAAGCGGATCCTGGTGCATGCGGGATACTGGTGTACACAGGCTTCGCTGCTCCCCCGGGAAAAACGACACCAAAAGCATACACCACCCCTCCCCGACGTCGTCCCCGACCCTCACAAAGTCCTGGGATCGAAAAACAGGCCGCCACTGGTAATTTACAGGGCGGGGGCGGCCGCAAGAAACCCTCGCAAGAAACCCAACCCTGAAAACCCACGCGCGAGGGGCACCTGAGGGGAAATCCAGAGCACCCTGAACGCAGCAACGTCTTCAGCGGCTGCGGGAGGTCATCACGCAGCTCGCGGAGCGAAGAAACCCAGGATACCCTGACGAAAGGCACACGGCTTCTTGATGCGCGCCCCCACTGTGTATGCTCCAGCCTCCGACTTTGACCCACGGCAGCCCGCGTGGGCAGAATGCCGATCCGGCGCGCCGCCCCGGGTGCGCTCCGCGCGCCCGGGGAGGGGCGCCGCAGGCTCTGGAGAGGGTCCGGCGCCAAAAAATCCGCGCGAGGCTCTGAGAGGTGTAGTTGTGAGCGTTTTCGTACTCGGTGTCTCGACATTGGGCGAAAAGGGGGGGGGGGATGGGGGGGGTGTCTGGCCCGACCTCTGCCTCATGCGCCCGTCTGCAGCAGGCGCCCTGTGGGGGCGACTCCACGCGCTTGGAAAACGGGCGCCAGAAGCAGCCAAGATCTACTCCGTGGTGGAGGGGGGGGGGGGGCACATGTGAACCCTACCCCTGCCCCCCGCGATTTCTGAGGAGGAGGGTGGGGTTCACTTCGTTCGGGAGCTGCCGAGCGAAGTGAACCCCACCCTCCCCCTCAGAAATCGTGGGGGGTAGGGACTCCTCCTCCTCCTCCTCCTCCTCCTCCTCCTCCTCCTCCTCCTCCTCCTCCTCCTCCTCCTCCTCCTCCTCTAGGGGGGGGGGGAGGGTGCGAGGGCCCCCGCCGCTCGGCGCGGCAACGAGCCAGCAGACGATCGCTTCCGTTCCCTCTTCCGGAGGGAGCGGGTGTCCCCGGGCGTCGCGTAGCGGAAGTCGCCCTCGACGCGCGGACCCAGGCCCCCCTCGGGACCTGGCAAGAAAAATCACAGCGGAGCTGTTCAGAGCAATTGTCAGGTCGGGCGTGTCCTCCTACAGGTGGATTTTGAACGAAAGATGAAAACAAAAGCCGAAAAATGCCCAGAAATAGTCATACACAGTCACAAAATCATCCGCTGACTTTTTTGTCACTATTTTTGAGCACTCCTCCTGTAGAGGGACAGGCCCGACGAAAAACAATTGTTTCGGCCTCTCGGGGCCCCAACCAGCCCCACGGACCAGCACGAAACGCTGCAGGATGAGAAGCCGGTCCCGGGGAGCGGGTCAAGACGTCATTCTGCGGCAACTCGTGAGAGCCTCCCATACCCACATTGTTGGCTCTTGCCAAACGACACGAGTCGACGCGAGCTCGGCCCCGAGCCGACGCCGATCGACGCTTATCGACGCTAGATCGGCGCCATCTCATCGACCGCCAGACGCTAATCGACGCTCACGCACCCCAAAGACGGACTTACGAGGGTAATTACACAAGGCTCCCATGAGTTGCTGCCGAAGCCGTCCGAAGGTCCAAAAGCCCTCCCTTGTTGCAACTTTGGGGAACCTCGGCTGCCCCATCGCGACAACCATCCGTGTCGAAGCCGTCTCGAACGCGTCGAGTCCAGGTCGAATCCGTGTGGAGTCCGTGTCGAATCCGTGTCGAGTTCACGACGAGTCCGCGTCGAACCCACGTCGCGGTGCAAGGAGGGCCTGCCGTCTGGAGGACGGGAGAGGTCCCCCGAAACTGCAGGGGTCACCTCTGCGAAGCCTCGAGGTTCATGAGCTCGTGGTTGCCCAGGAGCAGGATCACCTCCCCGCCGGCGGCCGGGGCCTGATCCTGGAGGCGGAAGAGAGCCTCGAAGATGGGGCCGGACTCGTCGCCCCCGCTCGGCGGCTCCAGAGGGCGTGGCTCGCAACGCGCACCCTTGGGGGGCGGGCGAGGACCTCGACAGAGTTTTAGGTCGGGCATGTCCCCCTACAGGCGGATGTTGGACGAACAATGAAAGAATACCCCCAAAAAAATCCAATAATACGATGTTTCAGACTATGTTGTGACTATGTTTGAAATTTCCTTCTGTAGAAGGACAGGCCCGACTTAAACAGAGTTCTCCGCCTCGCCCCGAGGAGGCCCGACGAGTGGGGCGTGGTGCCCCACCAAGCCCCGAAGACGCAGGTCGCAAACCACCCTCTGGACAAACCACACCCCTTGCAGCCGTCGACCTGTCCACGACGTCCCCCGTCTGCACTAGCACCGTGTCACCTCCGGTCCACTCGCCCTTCTCGCCCATCGTAGAGGAACGCAGAACTGCATAAACATGAACTTCGAAACTCCTCGCAGATTTCTTGGATTCTCGCTGGGCGCCCCTCCCCGCCAGGGGGGCCCAGCGCCGATTCAAGAACTCCGCGCAGAGCTCCGGAAACCAATGCTTGTGCATCTTGTCCTTCCTCGGCATCAGCCCCAGCTCCCTCAATATCAGGCGCGTCTGCACGAAGTCGCCGTGCAGATCCCCCACAGACACGACCCTGCTGGAGGGGTAGAAAACGGGGACCATGACCAAGATTGAACGCGGAAACGTCGTGCCGATCCTGGTCCCAGTCCATATTGGTCAGCCTCGATTCGTGGGTCAGCCTCGCCATGCGGCGACGGCCGACGTGGACCATGACCAAGATCGGGATCGACAAGATCCCGCGACATCGTGGTCATGGCCCCCGTACTCTGACATTCGACGTCTGCATCACAACTCGAGCCCTAGACCCAATCTTTTTGCGGATGGGGGCAGCAAGGCCGGCCGAGCGTCTGGGGTATGGCCCTGGAAGCATCGCTGCCCCCCCCCAGCGACCTCCAAATCCCCAGAGGTCCGATGTCGTGATTGTTTCAATGCGCGGTCCGCAGAAGTATCGACCCATTCCCCAGGACCAGTTCCTCGTCCTGAGTCGTTTCTTGACGGTCCTGGGGAACGGCGAGGGCCCCTAGAGGCCGGAAGTGGCGCAAAACCTCCGTCTAGATGTTTCCAATGCGTTGGACCTCTTGGGCCACCGCTTGACTTAGGTCGGGCATGTCCCCCGTCATGACTTTTGTCAATGGTTTGGTCAATTGCGAAAAACCTCCGTCTTGATTTTGTTCAGTGCGTTGGATCTCTGAGTCTCAGGGTGTGTCCTCCCTCGACCTGCGCTGTGGCCCGCTGGCGACCGCCGCGGCCGCATCGGCGGCGGCCGGCGCGGCCGTGCCCGCCCACGCCGCGGCCAGCGCCAGGCCCGCCAGCAGGCCGCGCAGCCCCGCCGCCCAGCCGCCCACGGCGGCCAGCGCCCCAAGATCCGACGCTGGTCCTCCTCCTCCTCCTCCGCCTCCTCCTCCTCCTCCTCCTCCTCCTCTTCTCCTCCTCCTCCTCCCCCTCCCCCCCCTCCTCCTCCTCCTCCTCCTTCCTCCTCCTCCTCCTCCTCCTCCTCCTCCTCCTCCTCCTCCTCCTCCTCCTCCTCCTCCTCCTCCTCCTCCCTTCCTCCTCCTCCTCCTCCTCCTCCTCCTCCTCCTCCTCCCCTCCCCCCCCCTCCTCTCCTCCTCCTCCTCCTCCTCCTCCTCCTCCTCCTCCTCTCCTCCTCCTCCTCCTCCTCCTCCTCTGCATCGTCCTCCTCATCGTCCTCCACCCCCCCTCCACCCCTCCTCCTCCTCCATCATCATCATCATCATCATCACCATCATCATCATCATCATCATCATCATCATCATCATCATCATCATCATCATCCATCATCATCATCAATCATCACATCATCATCAGCATCAGCATCATCAACACATCATCCATCATCATCATCATCCCATCATCATCATCACATCATCATATCATCATCATCATCATCATCATCATCATCATCATCAGCATCAGCATCAGCATCATCATCATCATCATCATCATCATCATCAGCATCATCATCATCAGCATCATCAGCATCATCATCATCATCTGTATCATCAGCAGCAGCATCAGCATCATCACCACCACCGCCATCATCAGCATCATCATCAGCAGCATCATCCTCATCATCATCAGCATCAGCATCATCAGCATCATCAGCATCATCAGCAGCGTCAACACCATGATCATCGTCATCAGCATCATCATCATCATCATCGTCATCATCATCATCATCATCATAATCAGCATCATGATCATCATCATCATCAGCATCATCATCATCATAATCATCATCGTCATCATCATCGTCATCATCGCCATCAGCATCAGCATCATCATCATCAGCATCTTCTTCAACAGCATCATCAGCAGCATCATCAGCATCATCCGCAGCAGCATCAGCATCATCACCACCACCGCCATCATCAGCATAATCAGCAGCATCAGCATCATCACCACCAGCATCATCATCACCACCACCATTATCAGCATCATCATCATCAACATCATCATCATCATCAACATCATCATCAGCAGCATCAGCATCATCAGCAGCATCATCATCATCTGCATCATCATCATCATCATCATCATCATCATCATCATCATCTTCATCATCATAATCATCATCATCATCATCATCATCAACAGCAGCATCAGCATCATCACCACCACCACCACCATCATCATCATCAGCACCATCACCACCATCATCATCATCAGCAGCATCATCCGCAGCATCATAAGCATCATCATCATCAGCATCATCATCAGCAGCATCATCATCAGCATCATCAGCATCATCAGCATCATCTTCATCTTCATCATCATCATCAGCATCATCAGCATCAATGTCATCATCATCAGCAGCATCATCATCATCATCATCAGCATCATCAGCAGCATCATCATCAACAGCATCATCAGCAGCATCATCATCAGCAGCATCATCATCATCATCATCAGCATCAATCATCAACAACCATCAACATCATCATCATCATCATCAGCATCAGCATCATCAGCAGCATCAGCATCATCAGCAGCGTCATCATCATCATCATCATCATCATCATCATCATCATCATCATCATCATCATCATCATCATCCCCCTCCCCCTCTCCATCCCCCTCCCCCTCCCCCTCCTCCTCCTCCTCCTCCTCCGCATCGTCCTCCTCCTCCTCCTCCTCCTCATCTTCCTCCTCCACCTTCTCCTCCTCCTCCTCCTCCTCCTCCTCCTCCTCCTCCTCCTCCTTCTCCTCCTGCGGCACGGCAAACTGCACCAACCGAAACGAGTCGCGCAGCGCGCGAGCCAGACGCGGGAAGTCCAGGGCTCGCCAGGTTACACGGCGCGCTCCGTGGCCTCCCAGGGAGCTCCACACCGAAGGCGTCAGTGGCAGTGCTCAGATGCATCACCCGCACCCATGTCGGCACACACCCCTCATACGGCTCGTGGCCCCATAGGGAGCTCCACCGAAGGCCCAAGTGGCAGTGCTCATAAGCATCACCCGCACCCAAGTCAGTAAGCACACACACACACACCTTATACGGTTCGTGGCCAAATAGGGAAATGTACAGAAGGCCTCAGCGGCAGCACTCACATCGCTCGCATGCGTGCCCCGCACAAATGTCGGCGCACCCCTCACACGCTTCCTGGCCCGTAGGGACCTCCCCCGAAGACGATACTCACACTTGCGTCACTCACAACTGCACACACGTGTGGGTCCTTCGCCAAGCTCATTGGTTTCGCCAAGCCACTCCCGGGGACTGGCCTTCATCGCACCTCGTTGCTTGACGGTTCAGGGATCGGGCGAGGGCCTCTAGAGGCTGAAAGCAACAACAAAACATGTTATGATGTTCTTAGTGCGCTGGATCTCTGTGGACATGGGCACGTCTTCGGGGAACCCAAAAGTACAGCAACCGCTGCTCCCCGGACCTCTCCCCGAGTGCGTTCTGACCAGCATGTCGAAGCGAGTCCCGCGGTGGCGAGGAGGTACAAAAAAAGGGCGAAAACAAGGCACGAAGTGATTAACAATGGGAGGGCCCCTAACCGTTTTGGAGGGAACTAGGAGGGCCAAGAACATTGGGGACAGGGACCAGATCTATTCAATCCCTGATGCGAAGACGGGGACCTCGGTGAGGCTACGCCTTCACCGTGCTATGAGAGTTAGGGGTCCTCTGACCCTCGATGGCAAAGGCAGCAACATCGGTACACGTTCCCCTTCTGACTTGGACGCCCGAAATGGGTACGGACACTAAGGGGGGGGCCTCAGTGAGGCGCTTCCTCCTCTGACGTTTGATGGGCCTGTTTTCCACCACCACCACCACCAGAAGTTGGAGGGGGAGGGGGTCCTCCTCCTCCTCCTCCTCCTCCTCCTCCTCCTCCTCCTCCTCGTCCTCCTCCTCGTCCTCCTCCTCCTCCCCCTCCACCTCCTCCCCCCCTCCCACTTCTTCTTCTGGTGGTGGGTGGTGGACCACGCGCCCCATCCGACGTTCGCCGCTCGCGGCGGATCTCGGGGCGGGCCCCCGCGGCCCCGACGCCCAGCCCGCCACCGCGGGCCGCCCCCGGCGCGCCGCGCGCCCCGCCGCGCGCCGGGGGCGCCCCGCGAGCCCGGCGCGGCCCGTCGCGCGCGCGGGCCGCCGCGCCGCCGGCGCGCCGGCCGCGGCCAGCCCGGGCGTGCCGCCCGAAGATCGGCGGTGCAGGAGGCGGGGCCCGTGGGGGAGGCCCCTGGGCTCCGGACTTCCTGGGAGGAGGAGAAGGAGGAGGAGGAGCAGGAGGAGGGGAGGGGGAGGGGAGGGGAGGGGGAGGAGGAGGGAGGAGGGAGGAGGAGGAGAGGAGGAGGAGGATGAGGGAGGAGGAGGAGGAGGAGGAGGAGGAGGAGGAGGAGGCGGGGCTCCGGACATCCTGGGAGGAGGAGGAGGAGGAGGAGGAGGAGGAGGAGGCGGAGGAGGAGTAGGAGGAGGGGGATGGGGAGTCTTTTTGTTCGGGCCCCGCGGGGCCCTCTCAGATCGATCTGGCTCGAGAAACGGTGCAGGAAGATGGGATCTGTACAGGGCTCCAGGCGTGATGCTCTACGCTGTTACCATGTTTTCGCTACAGCGGAGCCCAGTCCACACAAGAAACCTTCCACGAGAAGCCCAACCCTGACACCCCAGGACGTCCACCGAGCCTTGGTGTGGGAACGGCACGCCTTCCACAGCAAAGCCACCGAAACCCAAGGACAAAAAAAACAGGGCACACTGGCGGCAAGCAGGGTGCTTCTTGGCATGGGCCTCCACTGTAGGGGCACGTGGAGGGCCCCGAGAGCTCGAGAGCGGCGAACTGCCCCAGGACCCGGTTCCCTCAGGGCCCAGCTGCTTCGCAGCAAAGCGCTGGCCCCCGATCCCCCCCCCAACGCCGCCTCTCATCTCCCTCCTGGCGCTGCTGGGGCGAGGCGAGAGGGAGGGAAGCAGGAGGAGAAGGACGAGGAGGAGAACGAGGAGGAGGAGGAGGAGAAGGACGAGGAAGATGAGGAGGAGGAGGAGGAGGAGGAGGGGGAGGAGGAGGAGGGAGGAGGAGGAGATGAGGGAGGAGGAGGAGGGAGGGAGAAGAGGAGAGGGAGAGGGAGGAGGAAGGAGGGAGGAGGGAGGAGGGAGGAGGGAGGGAGAGGGAGGGAGGGAGGAGGGGAGAGGAGGAGGAGAGGAGGAGGAGGGAGGGAGGAGGAGGAGGGCTCTCTAGAGGCGGAGGGAGGTTCGCGGAGGCCTTCGGGCGAGGCCGGCCTCGCGCGAGGCCGGCCTCGCGCGGCAGGCCGGCTCTCGCTCTGCGGGGCGCGCGTCGGAGCCCGGCGCTCGCTTCCAGCGCCTGCTTGCGGGGCCGAGCGAAGGCCAGAAGAGGGCCCTGACGGCTCGCTACGGCTGGCCGTGAGGCAGATCGGGCTCCAGGTCGAGCCGCATCGGCTATGCATCGGCGATGCGGCGCGATCCTCCGATCCCACCTGGGATTATGCATCGGCAATGCATCGGCAATGCATCGGCGATGCGGCGGCGCTCCGACCCCATCTGGGAGGCCTGGGCACCAGCAGTAGGTCGGGCATGTCCTCCTACGGGCGGTATGCTGCAGGAGCAAATTGTCAAAAATTGCTCAAACCCGGTCGGAAACTGGTCGAAAAATCGTCCCCTGACCATGTCTTTGCTCTTCTTGAATACTCCTCCTATAGAAGGGGCATGCCCACCTCAACCTTAAGCAACCGCCGCGGCGAAGCCCCACAGGGCCCCCACCGCTCCACCGCCGACCGCTGCGGCGGGGCACCTAAAGGCGCGGGCGCTCGCCTCCGGGGTGTCCAAGAGGGGCGCGCCCAAGAGAGGGGGTGCAAATCATGGCCCGAGGCATGTGCGCGGACCAGGGAGGGACCAGGGAGCGCATTGCACTGAGCAGAGGGGCCATGAAATCTGGTGAGATATCGTGGCCCTGGTCATGATATCCACACACACACAGAGATCCGATGTCGTGATTTCTCCCATTCCCCAGGACCCGATGTTCATCCTGAATCGTCTTTTCGCGGTCCCAGGGCCCGGCGAAAGCCCCTTCTAGAGGCCGCCAGTCAAGAGAAACCTCCGTCTTGATTCTTCAACACGCTGGATCTCTGAGCCCCTGGTCAGCTCCCCCCTTGGCCGCTCCCGCTCGCCGCGCCCGCGGGCGCGGCCGCGGGCAGCAGGCACGCCAGCGCGGCCACGGCCGCGGCCGGGGCGGCGGGCGCCCGGGGGGCCCGGGGCCCGCGGCGCCCCATGGCGCGGGGCGCGGCGCCGCTCCTGGCCCGCGAGGGGCGGGGGGCGCCCGCTGGGGCTGACGGGGCCACCGCGGCTAGGAGGCCATACAGTACTGTGGGCCCACAACCTCGAACCTCCTCCTCCCTCCTCCTCCTCCTCCTCCACCTCCTCCCCTCCCTCCTCCTCCCTCCTCCTCCTCTTCCTCCTCCTGCTCCTCTGCTTCTGCTCCTCCCTCCTCCTCCTCCTCCCTCCTCCTCCTCCTCCTCCCCCTCCTCCTCCTCCTCCTCCTCTTCCTCCCCCTCCTCCTCCACCTCCTCCTCCTCCTGCTCCTGCTCCTCCACCTCCTCCTCCTCCTCCTCCTCCTCCTCCTCCTCCTCCTCCTACTTCTCCTCCTCCTCCTGAGAAGCCCCCCCTGCCTTCTAAGAAGCTAGAGTGGGGGCATGGCCACAAGAAACCTTCCACACGAAGCCCAGCCCTGAGACACCAGGACGTCCGTGGACTGTGGGTGTGGGCACGTCGCACGTCACGCTTCCCATGCAGCAAAACCATCGCCACGAAACGAACCCAGAACGCCCTGGAGGCGAGGAGGGTCCCTTTGCACGGGCCTCCGCCGTGGGCGAACCCTATCCCACCACCCCACGACACCTCCCGAGCGGAGGTGAGCCCCACCTCCCCCTCACAAGTCGTGGGGCGGTGGGTCATGGTTTTCTCATGTGGCCGCCGCGAGGCGAGCGACGAAAGCGAGCGGGCCGTGCGCGAGAAGCTGCGGCCCACGGCGAGCCGCCAGCGTGGCGCACACCGCGCGGAGAGGAGGGCGTGCCCTCGCGCGGCCTCCTGCGTGGAAAACCTGCGAGCGGAGACCGGCGCAGTCGGCCCCGTCTGCTGCCGTCGCTCGGGCGGCGATGCGGGGGCAGGGCTCTGACATCGCAGGGTCTCCAACGATGTGTCATCGTGAATCTGGGCGCTGCTTTGTCGCCTCGGCCTCGAGGGGCCGCCTTCGGGCCCGGCGAGCAGGAAGGAGGAGGAGGAGGAGGAGGAGGAGGAGGTGGAGGAGGAGGAAGAGGAGAAGGAGGAAGAGGAGAAAGGGTGGGGAGATCTGGGGTCACGCACAGTAAAAACAAAATGCTCGGGATGAAAAACTGGCCCCGGGGAAGGTTGACGGTGCATCGCAGATGTAATGGTGATGCGGCAAAATCCTCTGACCACATATCCAGCCCCATTTGAGCTTAGGAAGCCTGGAGGGGAGGGAGGTGTACCCCGTAGGGGGCCAAGCAGGAGGAGCAACAGCGAGAAGCAGCGAGGATTGGAAGGGAGGCAAGATACATCACCGTGGCGCGAAAGTGGTGTCCAGTCTTCATCAAAGGGAATATGATCCAACTACTCCGCGCAAGAGCGCATCTCGTTCGATGTTGTGTTGGGTGTGGCGCGGAGTGGTTTGCGTTCCAAGACTGGGCAACATAATCAGCATCGCCCAGATCGAAACTGCTCCCGAGAAGGCCACAACACTAATGTCATGCTCGGGGTATTCGGGATGGAGTCAGGAGAGGGCAAAGAGGAGCGCTAAGGGAAGGAAAGATGATAACCTAGCTCACATTACTGATGCTTCACACCCTCCCGTCCAAAAACCCCTTTCGACGCTTCAATCAACTCAACGCAAGTATCCCTCAGGGCTGAACCTGAACGGTGTTTTTCGTTTTCGTGTTCCTTCGTTTTGTTTTCAATCCACCTTTACCGCTAAACGAAGTCGAAACGAAAACGGCCGACAAAATCGCCAAAACACCGTTTAGGTCCAGCCCAATCCCTTTCACTAAAACGATCGCATGAAGAAGCCATCATAAGGGTTCAGTGGGCCTGCATGGTAACAGCCCAAGTGGCGTCACAATGCCGTCGATAGCTAGCGGAGCTATCAATTCCCAGCCTGGGTCTAATCACACAGGTGAAGCCCATGCTATACGCCAAGCTGGCTCGGGCGACAACACGATGGTTCAAAGATGGTGGGCACGATCCGCCGATCTGTTGAAGCCCTAAGCTGCCGAAAGATGAGCACAGAAGAAGTCCCAAGCAGGAGCTCGATGTAACTAGGGAGCAGCCATTCGCCATTGTAAGCAAACTGTAAAGTAACTAATATGGAATAGAATACAATGGATAAGATGTATGGCCAGAGACAGGTTCACACAAGTGGCCTCCGTCCAAATGACTGTTGCAGCAATTCAACGCTTGAGATCAAAAAGTTTGACGACATCAAGGACGACACGTCCGGAGTGCCCTACCTGCTTGACTGGTGGTGAAACGATGAGGAGTGACCGGCATTGTGGACAGAGGCAACGGAGGATGAGGAAGGCGGAGGATGAGGAAGGCAAAAGCAGGGGGGGAAAAGGAGTGAGGCGTAATGGGGGAGAGCGAGAGGAGGAGGGGAAGGAAAAAGGAGGCAAAGAGGGAGGCGGAGCCGAAGGCGAAAGCGGATACAGAAACGGACGAGGAAGGATTCACGAAGACCAGGACGAGGAAAACGGGGCGGACGACGAGGTGGACGAAGAAGAAACGAGACCGAGGACGAGAATGATAACGAGGAGATCGAGGAGGAGGGCGAGGAGGACGAGGACAAGGAGGTGGTCAGAGGAGGGCGAAGGCACGCGGCAGGAGGACGACGGTGACGAGGAAGGCCAGGAAGAGGGGACGGAAAAGCCATGACGGCGGAGAGAAGGATGAAGAGACTGGGGTGACCGAGTTGGGCCTGAAGGGACTCACGGGCCAGCAAGCGCGCACGAAACGCGTGTGCCCGCCCACCGCGTCACCTGGAACGTCTGCTGCCGGGACGACCCAATGGTCATGGAGCTCATGTCCGCACAGCCCGCGGCGAGCAGCACGGCGGGCACAGAGAGGGAGGCGGCGGAGAGAGGAACGGGCATGGGCAGGAGCAGTGCTGGGAGCACCTGCCGAGAGGACGCGGTGTCCCACACACTCGCAGCTCGCACCTGCTCGCCAGCCGTGGAAGGGCGAGCCTGCGTCTCGGGCCCCCCTGCCCCTCCCCCCCCAAAAAAAAACAACAACGACAACAACAGAACACTGCGTCGGGGAAGGGGGGAGGGAGGGAAGAGGGGGGGAGGGGCGGAGGGCAGAGGGGGGGGAGCAGAGGGAAGAGGCGAGAATGCACAAGAAGAAGGTAGGCGCGTTCGCGCACAGTTGCATGTCATAATTACCGACCCCCCGCGCACACCTTTTCCACTGCGCAATGTCCGCTCGGTTCGCGGGATATGCTATGGATTCGCTTCCAGTGCGCAACCCGTCGCTCAGTCATAACAAACAAGCGGGGGAAAACAGCATGGGCAAGAACAAGAACCGCGCCCTTTAGGACGGCACCGGGGATGTTTGTTCTGCATGACCAGGATGGGTACAGTGGGGAGGGCCAGCCACGAGAAACCTTCCACCAGAAATCCAACCCTGAGACCCCAGGACGTCCATTGATTTTCGGTGTGGGAACGTGACGTTGTCCATCGCAAAACCATCGACACCCAAGAAACCCAGGGCACCCTGGAGGCAAGCAGGCTGTTTCTTGGCATGGGCCCCAGCTGTATCCAACAACACCACCGAAACCCTCGGGGCCTGGCGGCCGCGGTATGCGTAGCCGTCATTCGCCGAAGACAGAGAGGCGACACACCCGGGAGGGAGCACAGGGAACCTTGAGGCAGAGCGGCCTCGGTTCGATTAACCCAGCACGTGGCCGATTCCGAAAACCCTGAACATGAAAGCGTTTCCAGTAGCTTTAGGTCGGGCATGTCCTCATGCAGGGAGATTCCGAAGGAAAATTACGTATAGCCAAAAATGCTCAAAAAGAATCGAAGGCCATCGAAAAAACGTCCCCTGACTGTTTTTGACTATTGTTTGATACTCATCCTGTAGAGGGACATGCCCAACTTAATATCGGCTCCGGGGTAGGGCCCCGAGGGACGCGGGTCCTGGACCCCGGGGCCTTCCCCCGGGACCAACTCTTCATCACGAGTCGTCCTCTGACCGTCCCGGGGCCCGTGGAGAGCCCCAGGAGGCCCCATAACTGCGAAACGCCTCAGACGTGTTTCCCTCGGGCAGAAAAAGAGAAGCGGCATAAGCCTACACTTTCAGCGCTCCGCGCGGACTTCTTGGATCTGCGCTGGACCCCCCTCCCTGGCGCGCGGAGCGCGCCAGGGGCGGCGCCAGAGGCGCTGCCAAAAGGGGGCCCAGGCGTTGATCCAAGCAATCCGCACGGAGGGCCAACAGTGTATGTCTATGGCGCGTAGTTTGATTACTATTATTAGTATGTATTCTCATTATTATTAATCTCAGGTTTCTTCTTCTTAGTAGTATTATTCGCTCTTTCTTATGACTCTTCTTCTGACTCTGATTCTCCGCGTGGACGGCCCCAGGAGGCCAAAAGACTGCGAAACACCTCGGGACCCGTCTCCCTCGGGACGCGCTGCCCCCAGGGCGAGTTCCATCTCTGTGGAAGTCGGGGACCTTCTGACCCGGGTCACTTCCGACCCGGGTCAGGCAGGACTGACGGAATCCCGCACGAGCCTGCAAGATCCTGCACCCAAATTCCGGGCCAGCGCGAAGGATCCTGCCAGATCCTGCAGGATCCTGCACCCAGACCCGGGTCGAGGTGACCCTGGCCCTGCAGGATCCAAAACGATCCGGCGCTCTGGCTGACCCCCGTTTGCAGTGACCTCCGTCTCTTGAGCAGGGACCGACCATCCCGGCATTCCTATAGTCCTACCACGAAATGCTCTTAGAACCCAAAAATGTTCTAAGAACAAACAAAATGTTCTCAGAACATAAGCCCGATGTGTTAAAACAAGACAGCTCCAGCCAGAAATGCTCTAAGAACATGCCGTGGAAACCACAAAAAGGGTTCTTGGAACATTGTTTTTGTGGGGCCATGGGCGAGCCAAGACGCTTCGCCACTGCTTGACCCTTGAGCCCCGAGGAAGACGGCCAGCACTTGCAGAGGCTTCCGCCGAACCCCTCCGCTGGCCTCCCTTCTGCGCAGGCGGCCCCTCGCCTCCCTGCCGCGGGCCCCCACCGCCGGGCCCCCTCCGCCGCCCTCCGCCGAGGAACAGACGCAGCATCCCTGCGACCCTCGGAGGCGAGGACCTCTTGCAGAAAACCGAAAAAAAACATGCATAAGCATAAACTTTGGGGCTCCGCGCGGACTCCTTGGATCCGCGCCGCACCCCCCGCCCTGGCGCGCGGAGCGCGCGGAGCGCGCCGGGGGCGGCGGCTGAGGCGCCGCCAGAGGGCCCCGGCGCGGATCCAAGAAATCCGCGTGGAGCGCCACAAGTTTGTTTACACGGTTTCTTCTTTCTCCATTTCTTATGTGAAATGGGGAAGGATGAACAAATTGATGAGATCAGAAAGGAGACACTCTGGCGGCGCGCACAAGGGGACAGGGAGAGGGGGGAAGGCTCCTTGGAAGGAGGCTGCTTGCGTAGAAGGCTCTGGCCCTGCATCTATAGACAAGGTACTCGCCTTCTAAGAAGCACGGGTGCCTCTCAGAAGCCTTCCCCCTCCTCCTGCCCCCCTCTGCGCGTAGCTGAAAGTTAGAGCCTTTGGGGCCAGCACAACCAGCGATGGGCCGAAGATGCAGGGCGCTCCTGGAAAGACTGCTCGCCTTCCTGATCCTGCATCACTGTGTGGCAGGCTCTCTCGCGACGACTTCGGGGCTGGCTTCTGACACCGCGCGTGGACAAACCATAAGGTACCCATACCGCTACTCTTAGGTCAGGCATGTCCCCCTACAGGCGGATTTTGAACGAAAAATAAGAACAGCCAAAAATACCCCACAAGAGTAGGAAAATACTCGGAACTTCGTCCCCCGACTATTGCTCGGCCAATTTTGAATATTCCTCCTGTGGAGGGACGTGCCCGACTTAACGCTACTCCCCAGGGACTCTCCTGGGCTCTCCCAGGAGGCCCAAACGGGGGACAACGGGGGAAGGGTAGCGGAATGGGTTTACCAGCCTGGAATATATCCCTATCCCTATGCTGGGCACCTCCTCATCATGATGTCAATCTTAGGGATTCCCTTATTTTTTGAGGACGAATCCCTAAGATTGTCATCGCCTTTTGGCGTGTCAATCTTAGGGATAGGGATACGTTCGAGGCTGGTAATGGGTACCTTTTCCTCCTCCGAGCCACCGCGTGGATCGTCCGCCTGGCGCGAGCGCGCCTTTCCGACAGCACGGGTCAACCGATGGCGGCGACGCCGGGCGACCGGCGGCCTTCGACCTCGAGCGCCCGCGGCGCCGGGGCCGCCGCAAACCAAAGCGCGTCCAACCAGGGCGCGAGCCTGCCGTGCTGGGAGACGGCCCGCAGTCCGAAGAGGCGGGCCGGCGGAGGGGCGAAGGGTTGGAGGCGGAGGAGACGGGACGCGGAGGAGAGGGAGGGGCGAGGAGGAGGAGGGCGGAGGAGGAGGAGGAGGAGGAGGAGGAGCAGGAGCAAGGGCAGGAGGAGCAGGAGCAGGATGAGGAGCAGAAGGAGGAGCAGGAGGAGGAGCAGGAGGGGGAGCAGGGGGAGGAGGGGGGGGGGCGGGGCGGGACCGCGAGGGGCAGCGGCAGAAGCAGGAGAGGGCTGTGCACACGCGCCGGTCCTGGGCCCAGGGTGGCCCAGGCCCTGCACGCGTGGTACCTACCTCCTCTCTCCTCCTCCTCCTCCCCACCCTCCTCCTCCTCCACCCTCCTCCTCCTCCTCCTCCCCCTCCTCCTCCTCCTCCTCCTCCTCCTCCTCCTCCTCCTCCTCCTCCTCCGTCTCCTCCTGCCGAGCACGGATGCAGGACGCCGGCAGCGTCCATGCGGCAACCGCCTGGCCAGCGGAAACTGGTTAGCCCAAGGGCGAAGCGGAAGACGCAAGGAAGCCACATGCCGGTGGCAAATCACCATGGCCGCACAGGGGGCCCAGCTGCAAGAGCACCACCCGAAGCACATCGTCCGCACGTGGGCCACAACTGCAAGGCCCCTGCGATGGCGGGCGGGGCGGCGCGAACAGCGTTCCCAGATAAGTGGTCCTGAAGGCGAGCGGGCTGTCGTCGTCGTTCCGGACCAAGGACCTGCGGCAGAGCGGTGCGGGTACCCACTACAAGAGGCGAGGAGTGCGTCGAAGAGAGAACTCCGGTCATTATGCTACCAAACGTAGGAAGCGCTGGACGAAGAGTCCGAGGGGGCGTGGCCCAGGCTGGCCTCTCGGCCACGAGCTCGGTGGGTTCCCCGGCTCGGATTCCGAGCAGCGGCCCGCCAACAGGGGCCCCTCTTGAGCCCCAAAGACAATCCTGAAGTCAGCGTCTCCACTGCACGGCTTGGATAGAAGGAAGAGAAAAAAAACATTACAATTGGACGGTCGCGCGGAGTTCTTGGATCGGCGACGGACCCCCGGAACAGGAAACGGCATAAACGTAAACTGTCGGCGCTCCGCGCGGATTTCTGGGAGCTGCGCTGGACCCCCCCTCCCTGGCGCGCGCCAGGGGGCCCCGTCGCAGATCCGAGACGTCCGCGCGGAGCGTCGAAACTTCTGCCTGTGGCGGCTCTTCCTCTTCGAATGGCTGGGCCCTTCGCCAGGATGCTGCCTGTCGTCGGCTGGCTGGGAGCCCCACCGAAGAGAGCGCCCACCGCACCGCGATGGGCCCCGCGAGGCGGGGGCTGCAGGCGTCGCCCTCCCAGGGCGGGGCCGCCCCGCCCCGGGCAGCGCTCGGACGTCCACTTTACGTGCACTCATCGGTCTCGTGCGTGCTCTTGTTTGCGAGATGGTCCAGGGTGGTCCTCGATGGTCCCCGACGAAAGAAAATTTGG